TGCCTAATCTGTTTCTTTTTGCTTCTTCGTCATTTTATCTTGTTTATGTCAGTTAACGTATAATTTGATTTGATCTTTTCAGCGGTGTAATATATGTTGACGCTATAAGTGGAAATGCTCATTATCGTAGTGATCACCTCATTTTGAATCGCTTTCTTTTTCACACTACGTTAGCTCAGTATTTGCGGCGTTGAGATAACGGTATCATTTCGGGACAGTTAATAAATTCGTAATTTATACAGTCTCATAATTGCTATTTGAGGTCTGTTGGTGGGCTCTTGTACAGCTCAATACACATGTTTGGATCTCGGCAGTCTCGTCAGTCGGGCAAAACCCTTCGCCTTTTGACCAATCCTCTCCGGGTGCTCCAGTCCCTAAACTATACCGTGTCAAGATGGTAAACTGTTGCAATGAAGATGTGTAATGTTTCACCGATAATTGTTGGTACCCGATGAGTACGGAGAAATGCTTTTGACGTTTCGAGTGATGTTATTTCTTTATCCATGAGCTCTTCCGATCCATTGACTTCGCGTCGGTCCTGCTCTAAGTGTCACCGCATTCCTACGGGAATCCGATTGTGCGATGGGTGTAACGATTTATCGGATCTGAAGTTCTCAATGGCGACGTCGTAAAAATGCTACGCGATCTGAAAATATAACACCGTGCTAATTATATTAGTCGTGGAATCCTTATGGTAAACGTGTGTATCGTTTTGAGAACGAATACTACAAGCTATTGACTACTGCCGAGTAAATACATCTGCCTCTCATGTATAAAACAAAAGGACGAAATAGTTTCAACGGGATTAACTCAATGAGAATCCGTGTACATTGAGAAGTCTGAACCGCAGGGCAAAATGATGTAGTGAAAGCTGTCCTTGGCGGCCTTCGATTCGACTAACACCATCAAACAAGCTGCCCAATTGAGGCCATGTAGCAAAAAAATTTGTCTTGATACTGGCGTATAATTGCTGAATATTATCAATCGAGCCAATTCTGTGTTTACGTTTTTGCAGAATCGACTGGTCATTTGAACCGAAGAGCTTATCATTATGTTCAAGCAACCGACTTACACCAAACGTCATCACATTAACCAAAATAACTCACGAATTATCCGTTTTTCAAAGCTTGCACAGACTAGAATACATTACTGTGCAGCTCTGATTCCACCTCTGATTCCCTGTCTACATGAATGTTGAAGAATGATTTTTTCTCGATGCTAATCAGCTACTTTTAGCGTCCAGACAAGACCACTTTTTGATGAGTTCATGAGTATATTTCTAGTCAAAGCTATGAAATGTTTTCGCAATAGATCTAATCGCATTGAATGTTCTAAACCTTTCGTTGTTTACATCCTTAAGTTCCTTCTCCAACTGGGTTCGGTATAGGCAGTAATCAAGCAGTGATGAGGACATTTCCTCGCATTATAAGCGAGCAGAATTTTTTTTTTTTTTTGATTTCTAAATATGAAATCTCCTAGTTGCTATTACAGAAAGCACCCAGTCGAGATTCGTCACATTGCAAATTTCATTTTGATGAATTACTTTGACAATCGACTTCCATATAATTTGTCAATTTATTGCTGCAGAAATACCACAACTAAAATCTGCCAAATGCAAATGTTTCTGTCAAATGTATCACAATTCACTCTCAATTACCACCTACAGTGGCTGATGCTGAGAAAAAGTGCGATCTGAACGGACCTAATACCAACATTCGAACCGCTCTGTTCACCACATTCTGCCACATCGTTCTCGACCAGTTCGCCATGATGATGTTTGAGGTCTGCACATATTTTCTTACACAAAACGAAGCCGTACCAAGAAGAAATCAATTTTAACCGAGAGAGTTTCTGAGATTGTCTGTTGCGCGCTGGGAACAGCCGTCACCTTCACCTTGTTGTTTGGTGCTCCACACTTATCAACGTTACGCCTTGTTTGTATTGCAAATTCCCGTCACCGTGTTGTCAACGATGATGCAGTACTCTTTCGTATCTTCGACTGCGACTGCAACAAACACATTCTTCCATTATGAAACCAAAATGAAAGCTAGTGATATTTCGAGCAGTGGTCATTTTTTATTCTTCAATATCCCAAATCCTCAAATTGAAAACTCCAGCCATGTTGAGTACTACAGTGTTCACAGGAAAAGTTATGAAAAAAAGAAGGAAAAAAATACCATCGGTTCGAAGGCGGTAACTCTAGTGCGATTATTAGATGTTCTCCTGTTATGTTTTTCTCTCAAGCTGGGATATTTCCAAATAATCTTGCAAATGTCTATTTCCTTATTTCAAAGAATAAACAACGCAACGCTGCCCAGATATTAGTTATACTTCTGCCTATATTCTTCAAGAGATTGTATAATACGGAAGACCCACATGTCTGCTCTGGGCTAATAACATTCTTACACTGCAGTGGTTGGTAATTGACCGTGACTTCAAGTTGTCCCAAAATGGCCGAGATGATACTATCAAGTAAGAGTGCACTACGAGCTTGGCTTTCAAGAACGTCAAAAACCTAAAGAGCATTTATTCTCACTTTTTAAAAATGTTCACTCGGAAGTGTCTAAACCAAATTTGTCAAGCCATGCAAGTCATGTTAACCTGTGAGAGTATCCAAAGCTTCTTCGGGGTTGATACGGCAGTGGCTTATGTGCGTTTCGGCTGTATCGCCCGCTTCATCAGAGCCACATGCACCGCACCAAGCCGTACTTCATAGCAAGGATGGGGGACGTTTGGTGATAGCACGTGCTACTATGTTAACACCATTTTCACCTCACAGACTGTATTCAATGACTACAGCGAGGTCCAAAAGCAATCAATTGGAGGGATGTCTACACCACCATCAATCGTAAATTTGACTGAAAAAAAAAATGGTGATAACACAATATTACATCCTATCACCATAACGTTTCCCCATATCTGCTATGAAGTGAGATGCGAAACGCGTGACTCTGATGGAGCGAGCGATAACGCCGAAACTTACGTAAGCTAGTGGCACACGAATCTCGAAGAGGCTTTGGTCGACGAATTTCTTTTGAAATGAAAGCGCAATGCCCTTCTCCTGACGCCTTTCACGAATTCCGAATAGAATAAGAAAATGCTTGAATTCTATGATTCGCAAACTCACTGTTTGCATCACAAGACGGGAAACAAATGCCTGAGCACCACCCATGTCGGTCGCAATGCTAGGGACACGCGCACGGACATCGGGTGAGGCAGAATAAACCATCGCAACAGGTAACGTGAAACCGGAGACGTTAAAGGTCCTTCTACTCGCTGGAACAAACACTTAGTTCATATTTATGTTTGTGATCTCAAACTTTAGATTCGAAAATCTTCTATTAAAAAGTAGAATCGAAACAGTTTTGATTACTGATGATGTTTTGAATGTAGTGGTGATCTGCTGTCGGGCAGTAATTTATGAAAGGACCTCTTTTGCTGAACAAAGGCTTTCCATCGAACTAATAATGATCATTCAAAAACCTAATTGTTGGAGAGCTCAAAAGATAACTTCTTTTCAGAAATGCCTTCTATAACGCTGTAGCACTTTAGCACTTTATTTAATCCGTCATCACAGTGCTTTTTCACTGCGCAGATCCCAGTACTTCTAGCATTCAATTCGTTTCTTCATCTTCTTCTTGAATGACGTAGTACAGTGGTTGAGCGAATCTCGCCGCAATCTTGAGGATAGCTTTGCTATGTCATTCCATAGAACGTTGTTGCTGGCTGCTGGAGAGAAGTGGGAAGGTGGTGCTCGACTCCACGCGCGGCGTGATCAACATCACCACCACTCTGCCACCGCGCCCCCATAACGCTGTAGCACTCAGAATGAAATTGTATTTAACACTTGTTGGCCGTTATCGCACATTATCGAGAGTAATCTTCGCTGAACAAAGCTCTTCCCTCAGACTGTTACAGGTTGATCGATAGCTCAAATTTTGAAAAATTCAAAGTGCACTCACTTGAAACGAAGCTCTTTTCAACGTTGTAACAAAAAAAAAACTTGTATTTTACACGCTCGCATTCCTCGCAGGTCAGAGCTCCTCCCTTGAATATGAACAACCATTCGACAGCGTAACTTTCAGCAGTTGCAGCCCTGTGCTCGTTTTACAGAGAGACCATTATCCCGTACTGTAGGAGGGAAATTGAGATGGTGCTTCAAAAGCGAAGCGCAATGCAGTTGGTTAGGAACTATGAGTGATTGTGGATCGATAGCGAGATTCACATGTGGAGGATAATTTTGATTCAGGACTTTTCTCCTTTTTGACAAGATAATGAAAAATTGAGATGAAATTTATGATTCTTATTGATACTCGATGTTATCCTATACACGTTGAAATGCTACTGCGCCGGAAAGCTTTCCCAAAAATCAAGGACATAGTGAATTTTTTGAGATTTACGCTATGGAATGATTACTTGCAGTCTATGGGTAAAGTTTTATATTGCGAAAAACCCGCGACAATGCGCAACGTGTGTGAAGCACAATTCCATTTCCTCTTCTACAGCAGTGTATGAAGTCGTTCTAAAACATAAGTACACTTTTAGATTTGCGAGAGATAAGCTCTTGAATGGTCACCAATAGTCTAATGAAAATCTTTTGCTTGGAAAAAAACCCCACCCTATAATCTGCCCGATAACAGAAAAACCTGAATATATTCATTCTCATTAACATTCATAAATTTGCCTATAGGATTGAAATTCCTAATACACAAACAATTTTTGTTCACTACCTTGTCCCGCAGGCATCACTCCACATCCCAAGACTGTCGTGATTGTAGCCATCAGCGGAATTATGAGGCAATTGGTCAGAAATCTCGCCATATTTGAAAAGATTTTCACTTTTGTTCCCTGTTTGCCTTAAAAAGATTGTAGACTCAACTGAAATTTTTCTCAGTTCATTATGTCGCTCTCGAGGGAACACTGGATTATCATACAGAACCTATGTATTAGTAATGCCGGCGTGGCAGCACGCTGAGCGTGTCAAGAAATGTGCAAAACTTTGACTTCAGACGGGATATGAACCCGCATCGCACCCTTTCCGAGGGCGTGTGCTCATTTAATTGCACTACCAACGCCTGTTTTGCCACCACTCTTTCTAAGCTACAACGCATCAATCTGTCAGCAACCAACCGTTAATGGTTTAGCGTGACAGACCATATCTTCATTGATCCCCGTCACACTGACAGATCTTGGACATATGTGAGTGACAAAATTTCTTTTTATTTACGCGCTTTTTAGCGGGGCATGATGCCTCAGGTATATCAAATGATGTTGAGTGATGTGCAAAACTTTGACGTTACTACCGATAGAAAGCGGTTGAATAAAAAGTTTTCCTGTCGATTGTCGTTTTATCTACGATGAAATAAAACCTTTCGGGGAGAATTAGTGGCAGCTTCTGTTTCCAAAGCGCAGAAGAAGAGATAGTAAAGTTAAATGCATATCAAATGTTGAATGACAATCGGCAGAACCACAAACGATGCTAGTGAATTTTCCCATTTCTCAAGTGGCCCTGCTTAATATCGGTTCCAGCCTTCTCACTGTCTATGCTGCACGTATAAAATCTTGGCTTTCGCAGAAACAAAGTATTTGCAATCGAGAAATCGCCGAATTTGCAACTATACGTTTGAGAAAAAAAATGTGAGAAAGATTATGAACAACAAAAACGAGCAGAACATCTGCTGAGAATTATTAGATTACGGGATTCTGAGCAGCAAAAATGCGCTCATTGAGTTTGATGTTCACGTCAGCTTCCCAAATCTAGCCCTGTGAAATATCTTTTGTTTATGAAGATTCATTCGATCCCCAAAATAAGAACTTCTATGAAGTGGTCGGCTAAAGGATTCAGTGACAAGCGGGAATGAGGTGTTAGCAAGAATTCACCAATATGATGAAGCAACATGGGAAACTATTCAGAATCGGTGGCAGAGCAAGCAAGTGCATTGAGACATCAACTTTTGCGTGAGAAAGAATTTCCCACGCTTCATAGAATCAGCAGTGTATAGCTATGGGAAATTAGAGCGAACGATTACAATAACACGACTGAGATGACACTGGTTAAAGGCTTCCTTATTCGCCTATTTGAACGCTCCACGTTTCCCATCAAGGCGGGTGTTTGCGGAACTCCGTCGAGTCCTTGCAATTTCCCTACGACATTCACACATAACGAATTTTGTCGTTGTACATTTCGTATAATGATGTCTCATTACATTAGTGAAACGGCCGCAAACTCTTCAAAGGTTCATTTCAAATCTCCAAATTATTCAAAAAGGATAGTCGAAAATTTGAAATGCTGTCATGTTCCAATTACTTAATCCAACTTATTTCGTATCTTGGGCACTCAAAGCAACCCGAGAATGAAATAAGTGTTAAACGTATAATGATTTCCCATCAGATTCATGGCTGGAATGCGCTATTTGATGCTGAAATAAACTCTTAAGCCGTTGAATTCGAAGTGTCCTTATAGAGGACACTTAGCATGCGCTCTAACGGAAATAGGAATTTACGTGGTAAATCCAGCATTTGGAGAATATCACTGTTATTAAGTGATGGATTCATATATGAGAGATTTCTATAAGGTTAGGTTCAATAAAACGGACGCTCAAGGTAGAAATTCCTCTATGTCTTAATGAAAAAAATTACATTCTTCTGAAAAGATTACATTATTAGCTGATATCAAGCAACTGTTTCTTATGTCGATCTATGTCTTTGATTTCGTAGTCATTTGATGACTTGGAAAATTATGATCTCAATGTTGGGCTGAATTTGTGAAGAAACCTTCTTAGTACGTTGTACTACCGAAAGATAACATCTTGCTTGCGGAGTATGTTCCCAACTTTGCAGTGGAATTTTCGTTATTATTAGTGAAAATCCAATGCTAAGCATATTATTTCGCTATGGAAAATTAGAATATTACTACAAGAATTTACGTATACGTAATCTTAGCAGGAAGATTACACATTTTCTTTGAAATCTCCACTTTTCACTGAAAATGTGAACGCAGCTGCCTTGTGTGAAATACACTTATGTTTCTCCGGAAAAGAGCGTTCTGACCAGACTATTAGTAATCATTCGATAGCTTGAAAACTGCGGGTCCTAGCACTGAGATTAAATTTTGGAAAACCTTCTAGTACGTTCTACTGAGAGAATGTATGATACGTTTAGCCTTCGGAACAGGTTGGTCCAACTTCACAGCGTTTTTTGAATTATATAGTAAGATTTTGTTTCTAAGAAGAATTTTTCGCAGCGGAAAAATACATTGCTGTTCAAAGAAATTTAACGCACATTTTTAGATGCGCTTTTCGGGATTTCAGCGATAAATATGTTCATAGCTACGTATGAGTGAATGTATAAAAAGTCACTATCTGATGGTGATAGAACAAAGTTTCTTGTAAGCAATTTATGAAGTGGCATCGAATTACAGTATACAACATCGTTAGACGAATGCTTCCTTGTTTTGCATTTTCCTATGGTATGTTTCAACTAGATTACTTCAAATGAAGTCTCATAGTGAGTGGAAGTACTCTATCACTTTCGGCTATTTAGTGACCAATAAGCACATTTTGTGTTGATGAAGTTTCAAATTTCATTGAAAAACTACCATATCGTCATTGTAACGCGCTGCCTCGCCGCGCCATCACGTCATTGCGTTGCGTAAAAAATCAACGTGAAGGTCAAAGGATTGAATAAATTTGATATAATACACGTCACTTTGTCACGCATTGTTCACTTCATGCTTTTTCGCTGGTGATGTATTACTTGCTCTTCATTTTGTACTTATTTTAGAATACAACAGGGATGTCGGACAAGAAGCTCCTATTAGAGTCCAAAATGGGGTGAAGAAGCTTAGAAAATTGCAACTCAGTATCGTGTTTAGTCTAGGAACTGCTCACAAGCGTACAGTGCAGCGATGGTTCAAGAAATTTCATAAAAGTGACAAAATCCTTGGAGGGAAAGAGCGTAAAATAATATATAATGGAAAAGGTAAGAATGGAAAAAATCATCAAAACTGATCATCTCAAGGCTGCATGAGATCAAAGTTTATAATTCTACGGCCGTATACCATTTAAAGCAAATAAGAATCTTTGCGGTTTTATACCGGTTTGGAACCGCAATCTTTTTTGAATTAACCTAATAAAGTATATACTTTCGATTAAAGATGCGCTAGCGTGATAATACCATTTCATCCAGTTTACTTGCCGGCGCAAAAGAGTTACTGATTAATAATTTTAGCGCTAAACTGAGTTTTTCTTTTAGTTGGAGATCTTTCAAAATGTCGCCTCGTGACAAATATCGTTGTTTTTTATATAACAATAATGCAGCGCAGAAAATTATCGGACACGTTTTGTAATTTCGGCTATCTAAGCGATCGAAGTGGTGTTCGGCACTATAATCGACCATTAATTTAACGCTAACATCTGGCGATCCGATAGTAGAGGAAGTCACCCTCAATTCACAGAGTACTTTTCCAGAGAACGACGGTTTAAGCGTGTCTTCAAAAAACCGTTCATTCAGCGGTAAGAGTTCTGGTCTTACTTCTCCATCTAAGTGACATTACAATTGTGGAGGCAGAAAGGATGCTTTACATCAATTCCACTATGCTAACGAAAGTTATCCGATTCACAACTCAATAATTATGTTTCGCCTATTTCGCGAATGAATATGAAAAATATCTTGAAGCTGTATAATAATCAGTTTTTTCAATGTGTTTTATAAGCGCTGAATGAAGTTAAATAAGAAATTTGGTGTCCGAACGGTTCCGTGTAATTGCACTTCGTCTGTTTGCGAATCCGTGTTGTAGCAGTTCCGTGTTGAAGCAATTTTGCATTGTAGCGTTCCCGTGTTGTAAAAGATCCGAATAATTTCATCTGTTTTGCTGAGCGAAGAACGGTTTCGCCACAATAATTCTTACACTTAAGAAAAAAACAATAACTGTGCTATGTCGACGTGGTGGGAAGATTACTTCATCCATGCCGTGCTTCACCCTACTCGATTCGTCTCAATGAGATGACTTTGGGGACCCACTCAGAAAGAACAATTCCCCAAGACTCAAGACATAGTGGCTCTGATGAAGCCAAAATCGTCGAAATGTTGGTATAGTAGAGTTTATACTACCACGTGTAAGCCTACCATTGAAGCAAAATATTATTGAACCACGGAGAGTTTCACTAAAAATCGCAACTGAACTTTTTTGTTACTTAAGAGTAGTACAGCGCAGAACATCTAATGGTATGATTGAGTGATTGCAGCAGTTGAACGCACAGAGTGGTGCTCACTTACATCAACAACCGCTCACTAACATTCCAACATTTTCATCATCACATACTAGAAGTCATCCGTGAGTTCACAAAAACGCTACTTGGAAGATCATGACCTGGACATAATACTCTGAAAGACATTTCATTCAGAAAACTATGAGTGAAAAATTGCATTTTGTTCCTGAAAGAGCTTATGTCTCCGTACGAGCGGCATTTCACACTTAGTCGAAAATTGCAAGAATTTCTTCTATTTCCATTAAGTTAACAGTAGCTTTTCGACTCAAAACGTAAATTATTATGGTTTGTTTGTTTTCAGATGGCAAATTAAGAGCATACTCAGCGATGCTAAAGCATAGGTCATTCTCAAGATTTCGAGAGATTTTAATGTAGATTAATTAGCAGCTCAGTGTCGTATTGATTGAACTGCTGAGCGATGAGAGTTTTCGGCGTGACATCTCTATTCGTTTGAAGCAGGATTCTGTGACTAGGCAAATAATTACAACCACTAGGGAAAGAACAGCACTGCTGTACTGAAAAACACGATCTGATTTTTACTATCAGAAATAATATGATAACTACTTTACTATGGCCTCCGTAGTCAATTGCTCTCATTTCTGTAATTTGAGTGCCGTATTTCGTACGACAGCGGCGTGCCCAATCTATAGCTCCTTAGCGCATCAAAACACCACAAACTTTTCTTGTAAAGCAACTGAATATATAATGTGTTAGGGCATTACATATGGTTCACACAAATATACTCAGTCAACAGTCCTTTAGACTTTCTTAATAACGTTGCTTACATTTTTTGATATGAAAGCACAA